GGGCTCCTCCTCCTCCCCTCCCCCTGGGGCTGCTCCTCCGCCCGTCGGGCCCCCCCTCCTGGGGCTCCTCCTCCTCCCCTCCCCCTGGGGCTGCTCCTCCGCCCGTCGGGCCCCTCCCGCTGGGGCTCCTCCTCCACCGCCCCTCCCTCCTCGGGACCCCCCGGACCCCTCCTCCGCCTGGGGCTCCCGGACCCCCTCAGCCCCTCCCGCCTCGGGCCCCCTCCTGGGGCTCCCCCCGCCCCGCCCCCCGGGCTCCCCCCCACCAGTCTCCGTCCGGCCCCCCCGCTCTCCAGGCTGCACCTAGAGCCCCCCCTGCAGCCACGCACGTGACGCACTCGGGCCAGTCAGCGCCCTCCCCTGCCCCTCTCGCTCACCTGATCCCGCGGGCAACTTGCCCCCGCCCCCCAGGCCCATGTGACCGGCTCCGGCCAATGGGCGGGAGGAAGGCGGGGCTGTCCAGCTCTCCTTTTCCGGCTGACCAATCAGAAGAACAGAGCAGAGGGTCCCGCACCCCCCCAGCTGACGCTCCCCCCCAAACACAACCAATCAGAGCGAAGACCGCATAATCACGTGGGACCCAGGAGCCTGTGAGAAGGGGCAACATACGTCACGTGCTCGCAGAAGAGCCAATAGGGAGGCGGAATCCCCTCCTCACGTGCTCGCAGGGCCGGACAAGAGGGGGGTCTCCCCCGCCACGTGACTCCAACTGACCAATGAGAGATTGGATACACCTCCTGGCGCCTTTATGTGACGTGACGGGGGGCAAACACACGTGATCCCAGCTGCCCAATAAGAGGCCGCGGGAGTCAGCCGCTACGTCAGGGACGGGACAAGGGGGCAGAGCGTTTCACCCACGTGACCGCGCGGTCGCCGTTTGGAGCCATGGAGGAATATGCCCGGGAGCCCTGGTGAGCGGCCGGGGCCCGCCTCCCCCCGCGCGGGGCCCTTGGTACCGCCCGGCGGGCGAGTCCATTGGGAGGGGAATTGGTCTCTCCCCCCCCCCCCCCATGGCAGGGGGCCTGTGGGCCGCTCCATTAGGTGGGGGAGGTGACCGGTGGGTTCAGAGCGGAGCCCCCTCCCCCCCCCCCGTGTTTGGTCCCTTGGTAGCTGCCAGCCTATGGGTGGGCGAGTCCATTGGAGGAGTAGTGGAGGGGGAGGGACCCCTTGTCTATCGCCCCTTTCTCCTGGAATGGATTCACCCAACTCCCCTCTCCCAGTAGCGCCCCCTTTCGGGAATGGATTTGCCCAGCCCTCCCCCCGCCAACCTCCCTGCAATGGATCCACCCGTTCCCGTCCTTCGCCCCTTTCCCCGTCTCGGCGGCTGC